ATATATATATATATATATAGGCTGAAAAAGTAGTAACAAGCACTAGTCTCAGCTGCCACTTTAGGATGTAGGATTCAGGATTTTCCCTAAACAACCAATTTCACATGGTAGGAGCTTGCAGTTGATTAAAGTTTACTTACCCCAAGTCCTGCATCTAAAAATCCCTCAAATGAATCTTGTGGATCAACATAGAGGACAATGCACATATTGTAGCAGTAAAGCTGAGTTCACCTGTGAATATAGCTTGTCCCTATCAGCTGCCAGTATAAAAATATTTATTAAAATTAAAATAGACGGTCACAATTGTCACTTTGCTGACATTTTTTGAAGGTGTCCATTTTAAATAGACGTTGAATATTAGAAAACTACTGCTCTGATTTTTTTGTTGTTTGTTTTACATTTTATCTGCACCTTTACTAATATGAGTTCAAGTAGAATAAATGTTAACGCTGAAAAGTGTTTCAGTTGATTTCCCCTTAACAAATAACTTTAGCTAAAACACAAGATTTGCATTTACTTTATCAGCTTATGTGACATTTAACATTAAGGTATGTGTATATGTATATGATGAATAAACATAACAGATGTGGAGATTTTGTTTTTTTCTAGTTTTCTAGTTCAAGTTCAGTATAGAAGCTCTAAAAGTAGTGCCATGGAGCAATGACGAGGTCCAGACTTTTCTGTCTTTATTTGTGGATCAGAGGATTCAGCGCGAGCTTAACTGCGCTACAAAAACCTGATCACTTTGCAATGATGATCCCGCCCATAGAGCGAGGAAATGAGTCACGGTGGCAATTGATTTACACCTGAGAAGAACCAATAATATGAGAACCGACTCGAGTCGTACTTATCGATGGCAAAGCAACTTAATATTACAGATAAAGATGTTGTGCCTTAACAGATACAATAAACCCACGGCAGAATGAGACGAATGTTGGTCAAGCTCCATTTACTTTATTTTCTCACACTGAGAAGAGCTCTGAGGGTTTTTTTCTTCTTCTACTAAAGTAGTTCCAGTGCTCATTTTGAGCCAATCCTTAGTTTAATTGGTTGCTGTTCAAGCATCAGCTCTAACTCAAATTAATCAGTTCAGTGCAGTAAAAACTTTTTTTTTTTTTTTAAGAACCTATTTTTTCAGTTATGGAAACCAGTCAGACCAGTTAAAATAGTTGTCCCAAGATTATCCTGACTAAAAATGCACAGGTAGTTTTATTTGAATATACAAATAGTGTGACACAGGTAATTCAAAAGAAAATGTTACTTGTTATTGCTCAGGTGAACAATGAAAAACTGCTCAGTTACTGCTATTTTACATTATATGCCATCACCAAAGGAATTTGGCTTTTATTACACACATGACTAACATGTTTTTAGTTCTGTTTTATAGTTAAGGGTAAAAGCCTTACTTTTGGGATGCAGCAGAAATATAAAAGAGAACTTGGATATTCTAGCTGTTTATTTGTACAATTTGCAAGAACTTGTAGGTACAAAGTAATTCAAGGTTGACTGCTACACCAATAAAAAGTCATTTTAACATAATTATGAATGTCATGTCATATTATCATAGTCATAGTCAAGAGGACTATGTCATATTGTCATCATGTCATATTATCATTATCAAAGTCATGTCATCATCTTAATCATATTAACATGTATTACCTGCTGACTTCTGTGCTAGAACATACCATCTGCATGTCTTTAGTTCAGCTTTTAATTTCAACTGACAGTCCAGTTTTAGCTCAACCCTTCTATGAAAGTCAAACACAAAGCACTCCGTGTTCGCACAGACAGTCAAACAATGCCTCAAAGTCTTATGCTGCTCTGACAGTCGGTTTGTTCCCGGAGCACCTTTGGCTTTCAAGTAATCCGGGTGCCAGTAGCGGACTTAACTATTTTGGAGTCCAAAGTAAGCCTTTGTAAAGGGGGCCCTCCCTCACGTCTGCTTTAATGTACCAGTAGGCCCTGAGGGTGAAAGATTTTGTAGGGCTGCCACTATTTTCATTCTACAATACTGTGAACCAGACAGTAGCACAACAAAAGTTTTTTCCTTCTTTCCTACGAAATCTTTTTTGGGGGGAAAAACCTTTGTTTTATTATTATCATAAAAAAGTAGTAAAACA